CTTTTGCATTTGGTGGAACACATTTGAATAATACAATAAAATGGAAAACCTGCAGCCATCATCTGACATATTTGGGTAAAAACTGGAATCGATTGTTTTTGCCTCTTTTTGAATTTACTAAGTAATGGAGAACTGGCCTCCACATTTTCCACTTATTGTGAAAAGTTATTAAGGTCAATTAAATTGCTTCAGACTTGGAAGATTTCTCGAGTTCCCGGACTGTGGTTACTGACCTGACTGGTCGACCTGGGCTGAAAAACACTTCCTGGCAGTCATCAGGCCATTATGCTGGGATCTAGAAACATGAGAACTAACAAGAGAAAGGTTTTACTCACCAAATAAACAAACAAGTATGGTGGATGCATAAAAAGCAGCTAGACCAGGACAATGAACGTAACCACAGGGAGAAGGGCCAAAAGACCCACCTCCCGCCCAGCACCCCCAGAAATCCTGAACCCTGACCCTTTCCTGGTCATTCCTGCGCCCTGGGTTCTAGGACCTTGCTGAATAATAGTCCGAGGACAAATGAGATGCTAAAAAAAACAGAAGGAGATCTTTCAAGAGGCTTCCTCTCAGAAGGTTTTACCAAATTTCCGGGAATGTGTGGGAAGCCTGGGCCACAGAAAGCCTGGGTGATCCATGAATATAAACATATCACTAGGGGAAATCCAGCTTTATATATTTTTAACAAAAGCCCCCTTTTAAAAATGCCTCGGTTTAAAAAAATGTTTCTTTCTCCAAATTACACTTACGTAGTGGCATCAAATAAAAAGCTCTTTGATAAAACCCTGCATGTTTCGGAAAGAGCAGAGATGAGAAAGACATGGCCGAGAGCCATGTTTGGTCATGGCTTCTTAGCTACTGAACTGCAATCATTCAGCAGAAAAGGGCAAGACCATTATGCCACCTAGTCACAGCCTCGAACCGAAACCCATTAATAAGTCATGTTTCACCTAGTCAATTAATGATCAACAAACAACTCGAACTCTGACCAAGAAGCCCAGACATCGGGACAGTGTCAACTAACAGCTGAGACTGTCAACTAAAAATAGTGCTTTGGATTTAAATGAGTGACTCAGATTTGATTCCCGTGCTTGCTTGTGCATAGGAGAGGTTTTAAAATGGTTTTCTTTTCTGTGAAAAGAGGGTTTTAGTGCAACCATCTGGGTGGGGAGCTCAGACTTAGCACTGTGGGAGTTGGGTGCACCCATATTTCAGCCTCCAGGGCCCTGGGGGTACACGGCTCTGTTAGCCTCTTAAGCAGATCTGTGCGCTTAACTCTCCAGTGCAGATCACCAAGGAGCCAGAGGATGGCTCAGGAAATCATGTCAAAGTTTTAAACCATTTCCAGAAAATTCTCCCTATGTATTCTTCCCATCATTCTTCTTCATAAGATGAGGACAGTTAGAAGGCTAACTAGTCAAAGACAAATGACACAAGGTAAATGACCCAGGATTCTCCTTGGCAGAGATGATGAACTAAGAACCAAACATATCTTTCCAGAATGTGCCCATATGCATGATAAATCTAATACGTTGGCCAAAGCGACCAGATGATTTATGATAAAGTCTACAATAAAATATACATTTCTTGTCCATTGGAGTTGAGTATTTTTTTACTGAGTTTGTTAATTCCGTATTGGCTAATCAGATTGGTCACTGTGCTTTTCCTAATTGTAATCGTGTCACTATATGTCAGGCCAATGCAAGATTTTCAAGCTTTGCGTTCTCAAGGTTTTGCCGCTGTGAAAATGTAGACCCCTTGCATCTGGGCAGTTTCTTTGTTATGTATAAGCTTCTCTGCCCTCAGGTGTCGCCTGCCCCACAGCCAGTTACCGGATCCCATTAATGCCGCGGGAACACACTCTCTGCCTTCGCTCCCTGCCTGGCTTTTCATACCTTGGGTACCCCTCCTTTCTGAGAGCGGAGAATGGAGTCTAGAGAAAATTTGCAAGTCACTTTTCTACGGGAATTGCAGACCGGTAATACCTGTCCAAAACCCAGTGACCATTTCCAAGTGGGACAGCAGAGGAAGGGGACGTCAACTGTGAAACCTACTAAGTAAAGAGGCTGAGTCAAACTGCCATGTGATGCGGCTCAGGTTGGAGACCATGAGGCTTCGAGAGAATTCCTTGAGCTGAAAATTCACGGCAGCTTACCACGGCTCCCTCGGCCTCGTGAGAGTGGATGCAAAGCAGACACAGCCGGTTGGAGGCACTAGAATTCAGAACTGGGGCCTCTAACAAGATCTTACTGACAGACCCCAGTCCAAGTAAACTGGACTCTTCTCACAGGCCTCTTTTAAGGCGGTGTTAGCAACGTCAAGAGCACTGGGGATTCCTGGTCTCGCCGTCAGACTGAGGACAGACTCTGGGAGCTGGGAACAACTGTGTGAGCCCCAGATGTCTTTTCCATGGGAGTCAGGAGCTGCCTGGGGAGGGAGCAGACCCTCTGGCCTTATTTCTGTCCAAACCCTGTTCCCTTCCCTTTCTTCATTAGTCTCTGAACTGTCTTCAGACTCCTCCAGCTCCTAAACCCCAACATTAAGACCTGTAGAAACACCTTAAGTGTGTCTGCTGAGGGGTCAGCCTTGCAAGCGAGCCCAGCACTTGTCTGATCGGGCTTCGGGCCATTGTCACTTGGGCCGCCCTCACCTGCCCTGCACGAAGACGCTGCTGCTGACACCGACTTAGGCCCACTGCTGGTTTTGAATCTTTGCCAAAGAGCCAGAGCTTGTGTGGCACGCAGGGGGCATGGACCCTCCCTAGAGCGTGCCTTTCCCTCCCCAAAGAAAGCAGAGTAGACAGTCGGCAAACAGGAATGGAGAATGCATTATGCACTGCAAGAAGGGAGGCGCCCCACGAGGGCGGAATGGCACCCACTTGTCAAGAGGGAGCAGCCGTGTCTTAGCCATGTCTGTTTCTGTCTGTCTAAAGGCAGGCTGTGTAATGGCTTCTCGGGAGAGAGGCAGAGTTAGGGAAGGAGGGAAGGAGAGCGCGGATTGGGGAGGCAGGCAGGGCAGGCCATCACCCCTCATTTTGTCCCAAAGAAGTGCCAGGAAAATAATGATGCCTGGAAAGAAGTAAATGCAGCCTGTACCCCATGATGGCGGTGGATGATGGCTTTCTCGTTTGAAAACCGGACGGCGCCAGTGGAAACTGGCAGTGAGTTTCACAGGCTTCCAAGCTGTGCAGTCTGTCAACGGGCTGGAAGGTCGATGGGTTACTTCCAGGAATTTCACTCATTCCTTGAATTCTTTTCTGAGGGGATCTGAGATAAACTGCTGAATTATAGTGCCAGGCAGGAGCTGCAAAGCAGCCTCAGTGATGATAAACGAATGCCAGGGAAGGCCCAGCAAAGAGCAGGACCCGAATGTTCTGGCACCGAATAAAGACCTTGCCACCCACAACCCATTGTTCTGTGTATTTTTATTAAACTACAGTGACCTTGTCTAGTTGACACCTTGGAATCGCCCTTTATTATAAACTCTTAAATGATGCTAAGATTAAGAAATAATAAGAATAATAATTCCTGATTTGCCGGACTCATCATGAGATAACACTGGTAATCAGAGTTTTAGTGGCTTGTATGATCTTATAGAGGTCTGAATGTGACTTGGCAAACTCTAGTCAAAATGACGGTTGCCTTGGACGTGTGATCCCGCGTGAAGCTTCCTTTTACGGAGATAAATTTAAGAGCACTTAGACACTGGTTAGCCAAGGAGGATGATGATAATAATGAGATTTTAAAATACAATGGCCAAAAAAAAAAAAAAATAGAATTTTCATTAATGGAACCCAGAAAAACTGGCTTGGGAGAAAGCCGATCTAGTGCATACAGAGTGTGAGATGTTGGTGAGCCATCAGGTTAGAAACGGTACCTTGGCAGGAGGTGTAACCTGGAGAAAGTGTCGGAAATCAGCCACACGGGGAAGCCAAGGATGCAGATGCGACTGGAACGGGAGAGCTGCAGAGGGCACGGCCCCAGCCAGTGAGGTCAGCGGGGCTGACGGCCCGAGGTGGCCCGAGGTCCGTCGGCTCCAAGACGCTCCCCTCGGCTCTGCGCTCTGCAGCGTGGGGCTCCTTGCTGTTCACACCCCGCCTTAGGGCCTCAGCGCTGGCTGCCCTCCCGGCCTGGACAAGCCCCGCGTGTCCGCGTGGCCTCCTCGCTCACCTCCTTCGAATTTCCGCGTCCCTGATCCCTTCTCAGTGACGTCTACCTGGCCACTCTCTGAACCGAGACCCCCCTGGACCTGCGCCTGCCCGACTCCCCCGCCTGGCTCCGCCCCTCCTTTTCTCCCGAGGACCATTTAATGTACCAGATACTCTACTTTTTGTAGATGATCTGTTATGTAGACAAACCTCATTTGTCTACATAACAAAAATTCGCTATTTATGTTGTTTGAGTGTACTAAGAGGGCGTGGATCATCGTTTTATTGGCCTACCCTCAATGCCTGGAACAGTGCTTGGTGCAGAGAAATGCTCAGGGACCGTGTGAAGAAAGAATGGACAGGGCCGAGACCAGGAGATGGGACAAGGAGGACGGGCGAGGTCATTGGACCGATGTTTCAGGCCACCCTTGGCGGCCCGAGCTGGCAGCTGGCAGAGTATAACGGGGAGTGCGGGGGGGCTGGGTAAGCGGGGCAGGGTGTGGAAATCCGAAGCAGCAAGGATCACAGTGTTCACCTGCAGAGCAAGTTAACGTTTAGCCATAATATTTAAAACTCCAGAACTGTGAATAACGGTATCAGCTCTTGGGGAGGAGGCTTCGGCGCGCACTTGGCTGGCGGTGGCAGCGAGCGGGCCCGCTGGAGCTGCCGTTCAGAGGGCGAATGCGACCCACGCTGATTCCGAGCCTGTGTAATGACGAGCCGTTCCGCCAGGGAGGTGCGTAGACTGTTCGAGGACCCGTCTATTTTCAGACGATCCAATTTTTTTTTGCACAATCCAAACCTACAAATCTCATGCGTCAAACGCACTTGGCGGGCGGTGGCAGCGAGCGGGCCCGCTGGAGCTGCCGTTCAGAGGGCGAATGCGACCCACGCTGATTCCGAGCCTGTGTAATGACGAGCCGTTCCGCCAGGGAGGTGCGTAGACTGTTCGAGGACCCGTCTATTTTCAGACGATCCAATTTTTTTTTGCACAATCCAAACCTACAAATCTCATGCGTCAAACGTGATGGGTTTCAGACAGAGATCACAGAGGAAGGGGAAGCGGGGAACCAAGAATGTGACCAGAGCTCAACAAAGGGCACAGGAAGAAGGGGACAGGGGAAGACGCCCCCCTGCTGAGGAAAGGCGACAGTCTGGGCCTGCCCCAGAGAAGATGACCCTGTCTGAAGGCCGCAGGGGAGGAAGCGCACAGGGAGGAGGCCGTTCTGGGAAGTGAGGACACAGCCAGGGGAGAGCAACAAGCTCAATTATAGAAAGAGCCGCAGGCAGATCGGCTGGAGGAGGGAGTGTTTGGAATTTGAGACCGTGAGCAGGCCAGAAGTGGGGGAGTCAGAGAGGACGGGGAGAGAGAAACCTTGGGGGCAGCCAGAGGAGGAATGAACTCCACGTCCAGAGCGAGCTCCCGGAGCGGGAGAGCGTGCGAGGCCACAGACAGAGCTAACGGCGAACTTGAGAAATAAAGCCAAACCAAACCGAAACGAAGGAAAAGGAAAGGAAGAGAAAACAGACCGTGTACCTTCAGTGAGAGGAATGGGAAGCACTCGACTGTGTGGAATTCGTTTGATCACGTGGGTTGTTAATTCTTTCTGGGGGTCATGCATTTGCATATGGAATATGTAAACACCTCAAGAGGGTCAACTGCGGAGAAATAAGGCCCAGGACGGGGAAAGGGTGTCTGAGTTAGAGCCCCACGAGGTTCACCTAAGGATTCGGAGGGGTGTGACCCTAGAGAACCTGGAAAGTGGGCTGACCGGGAGTCCGTTACCTGACGGCTGTTGGTGCCACTTGGGAAAAACTCACGACGCTTGTCCTCTGTGGGATACGAGGCTTGAGCAGTGGGCTAGACTAGTCTACTGTTTGTCTTAAAGAAGAAAGCATCTCTTCTGGTTGACGGTGACAGTAGGTAGCACTGCGGTCCCCAGGAATTGTGGAAGGTGGCCTCTCTGTGTCTTAGGCCTTGGCAGGGGGCTTCCCCTAACAATAATCACTTAAGGACTGCAATAGCTAGCATTTATTGGGGGTCCCATCTCAGTACTGTGCTAAGCTCTTGAATGTAGACCATCTTCATTATTTGTGGATTCTATATTCACCTACTTGCTAAAATTTATTTGTGACTCCAAAATTAGTACTCACAGAGCTTTTGTGGTCTTCACAGAGCAGAGAGAAATTTGAGTCCCCTGACACGCATGTGTGATCCCGGCTGAGGTCCAACGGGGTGACACACTGTGTCTTCAAGTTTCGGCTCTCATGCCGTAAACAAGTGTCCTTCTTGGGGTCTATGCGGTGCCATGGTTTTCACAGTTTCGTGCTTTTTGTTGGTGATCTCACTGTTTGAAGTGGCCCCCAAGTGTAATGTGACAGTACTGTCTCATGTTTCTGAGCACAAAAAAGCTGTGATCTGCTCTAGGGGGAAAATATACGTGTTAGATAAGCTTTGTTCCAGCCTGAGTTAGGGTGCCGTTGGCTATGAATTTGATATTAACGAATCAATCCTATATACTAAATAAGGGGTCTTTAAACAGAAACACATATAAAACAAGGTTAAATATTGACCAATTGGCAAAAATGTGACCGAGACTCTCAAGAACCTGGCTTTGAAGCCCCCCTAGGACGGTAGATTGGTTTCGGCTTGTTCGGTGTTGATGGTGATTTACAGGACAGAACCACCAGAAATAGTAAGAACCGACTCTATATTATTTCACGTAATAGTCACAATTCCAGAAAGTAATCTCATTTTTTAATAATAAAAAAAAAAATTAAGAGAGGTTAAATGTTGCGTTCCAAGCTTCCCCAATGACAAACAAGGAGGAGCCAGCTCTGACCTTGGAGCCCCAGCTCACGGTGACCTCGCACGATGCAGGGAGGGCTTCATTCATGAGCAGCCGTGCCGTGCCGTGGCCCCAGGACACTCCTCGAGCTGTTTAATGGGGATTTAAAGCAGAAATGAAATTTCTGAAATCACAGGTAGAGAAAAAACCAGGAAAATGCTCTTTGTTATTGTTGCTATGAACTGTTTATATTCCCGAATGCTATGGCCTGGGGGCCGTGGGGCTCCTTGAGGCTCTGACCAGGCTTGGAAGAGGATAAAATGCTATGCACGTATGTAGTACCCTAGGAGAACGCTGGGCGGGAGCAGGAAATTCTAGTTCTAGTCCTGATTCTGCCAGTAACTTGCTTCCAACCTTTGAGAAAGCCTTCTTCATAGCCTTATACCATTGCTGCTCTACCTGCGAAATGAAAGTTTTGGGTGGATGATTCTCTCCGCTCCATGTTTTTATGATCTGAAAGCTGCAAAGCTCTGTATGGCTTCTAACTGGGTGACCGTAAGTCCTATCTTGCCTGGAACAGGCTTGATCTACACTTTTTGTCTTGCCATAATTATTAATAACATCTTTCGCTCTCAAGAGTGTGCCCGTTTGGACAATCAATTATATAGCTGCCTTGTGCTTAAGCACGATTGTTTCTTGTGTTTTCTTGGCTGGGTCAGATGCAAGACTGTTGGCCCTGGTCTTGTTAGTGGAGACCAGCTGTGTTTTCTGGACTCAGTGGGTTCTTGGTGTCTGGGTGTTGAGCTACTTGGTTCCTGGTCCACCTAACCTGGCTCTTGATTCTCACTGTGGATCGTTATTAGAAAGTGTCCTGCTGCTAAAGCTGGGAAACAACTCTGTTTGCTTTTTGGCTCCCCAAAAGGAAATCGTACCAGCCAGACAGTAAAAAGGGGAAAGTCTTTAGTCCTGAGAAAAAATAGTTTGATACAGCACTGCTGATTCAAGGACGTAGTCCTTGTCATATTAGATTTGGTGCTTTCCTTCATCAAATTGACTGTAATCGTAATGTAATTATGTCCACACTTATTGAAAGTAACGAAATTTAATTTTGAAATACAGAAATAAAAAAAACTAGACTGAGAAGTGAAATGTTGAAACCAAAACTTCCGGCAGTTTTTTGAGTCTCTACAAACATCCTGTTGTTTGTCTTTCTAAACATATTGTTTCATCCTCTTGCTGTCGTGTAAGAAAGTCACATGAATTACTATGCAAAAAATATCTTCAGTGTTAAAACATTATATTCTCCCTCTTCCATTCAAATTCAATAGAAATAAAGCACAAAAAAGAAAATAGTTATGTCTATTGTTATTCTTTCTAGTAGGTTGAAATGCGCTATATAATTTTACTACACGATTGCTAATTTGCTTAGCAAAGCATTTCTCTTCCTGCATAGTGAAATACAAACTTTAGCACAGGCCAGATTAAATAATCTTCGACTTTCTGAATATAGTTTGGAAAATTAAATGATTAATTAGTCTAATTTTCTAATCTGTGTTTCTGAACCAAACTCTCCTTATTTAACTTTCTAGGTAATCTAAGTTATTTAACTTTCTGGGTCATCTTCAGTTATTCAACCCAGAAAGTATAATCTGTTAACGATTAAACAGATATCACCAAACTGGTATTTTAATTGAAATACTGTTTCTGCATGCTGCTCACAGGCTAGAAACAAACCATTTCTCGGTTGCAATTCCTTGCTTCCTGGAAAAAACTATTTTTTTTTTTTTCAGAAAGAAGTGTTGGGGGAGAAGTTGTATATTTTGCAAACCTGATTGACAAACTTGTGTCTGCTATTACAACCTTTTGGGACGATACCGAGATGGGGTGGTTATTGGCTAAAAGATCATATTCCTTGGAACTTGCCAACCATAACTTCGGATGTAAAGCCGTGCCCTTGATGGTCTAAAACAAAGATGTTGAAGCTGCCCCGTGTCCTTGCCTCTGAAATTCTTGCTTTGTGGTCGGGAAATGACCCGAGGCAGGCCCAGAGCCTGGGGGGTTCTGCTGGTTTATGCCCTAACGAGGAAGAAACCAGCAGCAGCTCATATCTGGTTCAGTTTTGAGTTTAAAATAGCATCTGCTTGCTGTCTTTGCCAAAAAAAGGGGCATTTTGATCATACGAGCCAACAGCAAAAGGCATTTTGCATTTTATAAAAACAAAACAACAACGACAAAAAACCTGTTTGTTGCTGGTTTCTTACAGTTTCCACAATTATCTGAATTTGAAATGCTGAATGTTGTTAGGACATTTTTACTTTGTTACTGAGACACGTGTTAAGTAAAAACCTTTTATGATGTTGGGCCTTTAGGCTTAGTCTGTTTTCTGTTAATAATCCTTCTTATTTGATTATGAAAAAAATAAAACAAAACAACTGTTGCCTCTTTGCCTGGCGTCTGGTTCAAGACATTTGACTTTGAAATGCTGGCCTAAGGAGAAGATTCTGCGGTTGCTATTTGCTGAGCCAGGAACAATGGAGGTTGCTGTGTTCGTTGGACTCAGGTACCCCTGTCACCCGTCTCCTCTCCAGCTGTGTTCTCATACTTTGAAAGTCTCGCGAGCACAGACCTCACTTTGGGCATGACCGTGCATAGTTTCACCTTCCTCTTTCATCCAAGATTTGCGGGAAAATCAAAAGTCACGTGGTAATCAGCTCACATCATGAACTACGGGCAAAGATTGAGCCAGCCGCTCCTGGGGACACCGATCACGGGTAAGACCGCGTCACACAAGTGAGGTAGGCGATGACCCAGGCTCAGAGCCAAGAAGGCCGTAGGCTTGAGGTGATGCTGGGAGTGATCAGTTAACACCCCACAAACTCTGCTTTGGGGTCAGAGAAGCTATTTTTTCTCTTTGGATTTTCTGCTCTGAGCGGGTGTCTTTGGGCCCGTCTCACGTGAGTATATCCTCCTGGGAGGAGGGGATCGTAGGTGTTCGCCCTTGACGGGAGTAGGCTCACAGGAGATAGGACTCTTGAAGAGCTTTCCCCTGCATAACTTTCATTTTCTCACGGTTAGAAACAAAACTAAACAATTTAAGTAATTGTGTTTCATGGAAATCAAGAAAGAAAAAACGGTGACTGTGAAGTCATGGACCATAATGCTCACACATATACGGGAAGATTCTGAGAACGGAGAACATCCTGTGCAAGGAAATAATGAAGCAAGTCCCCCAACATTCTGATGAACCTAAATATATTTAAAGTAACAAAAATGCGAAGAGGGCCCTTCTGAAGTCACGAAATCTGCAGATGAAGCAAAGAACCGATTTTGATTTTACTGAAATAAAAGGAGATTTATTTGTCTGTGGGCATCAGCGCCAAACCAGGTCTAAGCAGGGGTTTGCAGCAAAGAAAGGAAACGTTTATTTAAGGAAATGGCACCAAGGTGAGCTAGCGCTCAAAGGCTGGCTCCCAGATGCCCCTAGGGAACGGGTTATGCAGGGGCAAGATTATTAGCCATGGCGGCTGAGGGAGTTCGGGTCGTGGGCCATGGCAATGGTCAGGGTTAGCGTACGAGGCAGCTGGTCATTGATCAAGACCTGAGGTCAGTCATGGCGTCATTCTGTTTGGTCTCGAGGGGAGGTGGCCTGTGGGATCAGTCCTCCTTCATGGGTGTGGAGCTGAAACGCAGCTGAGGTCAAGATGTTATCTTTGGTTTGACCGAAACTGTTTCTGTGGTCAACAGACCTGAGGCTTTGTTCCTAAGACTGTTTGATGCTGCCCAAAATCTGATGTCCGAAGGGCGTAATGATTAAGGGAGTGGGCGCGCAGGTGTGTGAAGGTGGAGGGAGAAGCCAAGAAAAGAAGTGAGTACAAGGCCAGTGTGAAGCCAGGACAAAGCGAAGAGCCAAAGGCATTTTAAACAAGTGAAGATTTGCACGGTCACAGCCGTGCGCTCACCGCGAGGCGCTGAACACAGGGCGCAGGGAGGGGATTCACCAGGTGCGTTTAGTGGGTGGGCAAGGTCGGAATGAAATGACCAAGGCAAGGAGCCCAGGGGAAAAGAGACAGGTTTTCTTTTCCTCATCTTAAAAAAAAAAAAGTTTGAAATGTCCCAAAGGATGAGCAAAGGGCTTTTCTTCAAAAGAGAAGGAGCTATTCCTGAGACCGAGCAGGTGGAAGGATGGAAGCTGGTCGCCTTCTCGTAGGAAGGACGGGGCTGGAGAAACCGCGGAGAGAATTTCATCCAGCTGTTGGAGGTCTCGCAGGACAAGGACGTGAGACTTGACTCATCGGCAGGTCCACGTGATGAACTGAAAACGCCCCCGAGGAGAAGAGAAAGGCTTGGTCTTTTTTTTTTTGGCAATAAATAATGACATAACTGTTGAAATGTGATAAAGAGATTGATAAAGATCACATTATATTTAGGCGTATTCCTTCAAATTTTCTTCTCTATGACACTGTGCCTTATACAGGTGAAATAATTCAATATGACAATGAATGCTTTTTGCTAACAATTTTTTTAGTTTAAAAAGCATAATTATCTCTTTTCTTGCTTCTGTCGGTTTGTTCCTGATTGAGGAAGGCCCGTCTGTAGACCCTTTGTCCCCGTAGGAGGAGACAGCAGTGTTTACATGGTGGCATGCACTGTATTTTGAGATTTAGTGCACACGTCATATGACTGGCTTTGAACGTCTATACCAATTGAGTGATGGCAAATGGCAAATGTTAAACCCTAGAAACAACAAATAATCACTGAGATCATCGTAAGGGAGAGAAGACAAGCTTTGGAGCCAGAAGGATCTGGGCTCAAAGCCCAGCTGCAGGGTAACCAGCTGTGTCACCTGTAACTGCTGTGAGCAGCTTCCCATCTGCATTAGCTGTAATTTCTAATACGCTGTACTGTTGTAGGAATTAGATATAATATATGCAAACTGCTAACATGGTGCCTCACAGAGCTTTGGGGCCTTAGGGCTCATTGCTGCTATTACAGAATACCGTGAGACCATTTCCAGGAGTATGAATATTAGATGCATGGAGTATCTTAAACCCAGTGATTTAAAAAAAAATCCCTCCGATCATCTAAAGTCATAACACAGCAAATCTGAAAATGGTTATTGGAAGTATTAAGAACTACAAAATTTCTGTCCAAACTAGAAATATTTTTGGCCTCGCCTCGAGTGACTGACTGTCCTGTTTTGCCCCAAACTGAAGGAGTCGCTAGAATGTGGGACTTTCGGTACGAAACCTGGGAAAGTCCCAGGCAAACCAGGATGAGTTAGTCACCCTAGCCCCGCCTCACAGTTGTCTGGCCTTTTTGCTACAACTGGGATTCTCTTGGACTGGCAGCTTTACTTGGAAATCAATTAGAAATGCAAATCCTTGGGTCCCAACCCACACCTTCTGAGTCAGAAACCCAGGCCTGGGCCCAGCAGTCTGGGTTTAAATAAGTTCTCCAAATGATTTTAAGCCATGCAGCATGCTAAAGTTTGACGAACATTGCTCTACAATACGTCGCTTATATCAGACTAAGATATTTTGTGAAGAAGAATAGAAAGACACAATGTATTGAGCCTATTTTAATTTCAGACTAAGATATTTTGTGAAGAAGAATAGAAAGACACAGTGTATTGAGCCTATTTTAATTTCTTTTTAAGACACGAGTCAGCGTTTTCATGGCTGGTAGTCCCATTACGAAAAATTCAAGTTGTCTATCATTTAATTGCTGAGCTCCAACAGCGAAGAACGAGAAACGAGAAAGAAAATGACACACTGAGGCTAGGATAATACTGCAGCTCAGGAAATTACACCCGTTGAGGTTCTGAGGGGAGGTGGGTAAGGAGAGTTGAGTTATGCAAACTAAAATGTGGGTTATAGTCTAACAGCTCACCTACCTTTGCCAGGTGTCATGCACTCAGCGTCCCGAACTGGGACTAGGGCAGGAAGTGTGTGGGTAGGGCTACATGATATTTCTGGAAGGAAACAGCCAGGAGCCTCCCAAACTAATGCCATTTTAGTCTCTTTAGCAACCATACCAGTCAGAGCCTCGGAAAGGCTTAGGTTCCTTTTGCAAAGGAAACCAAGGGAATTTTCGTAATACCTCGTCACTATTATTAAGGTATGACTTGAAACATTTGAATGTCTAAGACACAGGACGATACAACAATTTATTTTATTCCATAATATTGAAATCTTCACACCAAGCCCCTCAGCAGCTAACAGGGTTTCCTCTGTGAGGGGTTATCTCTTTTTGTGGGGAGTGGGATGGGGGGAGGAAGAAACAGCCAAATACTATCACACCGATGAGTGGAAATGACTGGCGGAACGGGCCGCTAAACTCCAATTGTCACCACTGTTCCCGTAGGGAGTCTGGGAATGTTAGCGGAAGACGAAGGTGACACCACTTGATTATTTTCCATCGATTGCCTTAATGTTTGCATAAAATATGATATAAGCACGTGTCATCATTAGATTTGCCACAGATCCTAATTCTTCCTCCAATACTAGGCCTAACCATGCCTTTCTTTCCCAAGAAGAACTATCTTTGACCAGGTATAAAATCAGCCGTGGCTTCCTCCATTAACCCTTCCTCCTCAACCCACTGCCGAGTCCTAGAGGTCAAGTCCTCATCTTGCTAAACCCAGGACTCACAAAGGCCAACGTTTCTGCTAGCGTGTGCTAATTTTTGTCTTAGTTGAAAGTATATCTTTTCTATTATGCTCTCGAAATGTTGGATAAATTTAACTCGAAAAGAAATATGATGCCACTAGCTTTGTACCTGCTTATGAGTTGTAGGTCTCTCTGTCTGATTACGGTAAGCTAAGCCACATTCTAGGCAGGTGACATTCAATGACAATACCGCCCCAGCAAATTGGTTTAATTAGCAATCTCAAAGGCGGTCATTTAAATAGATGGCAGATAACCTTTACACGGTCTCACATTATTTTTCATTAATTACCAAATAAAACTAGATATTGAAGCTTCTTCATAATGGAATAAGGAACTCACACTTGAAACACTGTGTATTAAAGATACCTGTAGCTTATTCCTCTCTTTAAAAAAAATGCAAATGGCATCTTTACTTTATTTCAAACCCCAGCCCTGATGGCTGTCCAAACGTTATGGCAGACATAACTTCTTGAGCCACTATAGGAAGGACAGGTAAACACTGAGTTAGCAATCTTTAAAATCAGGAATAGGAGTACAAAGGGATAGGATTTGAAACTTCACGACCACTCCCTGTTCCTGTTCAATTCTCTTTTTTCTGCTCCCTAAACCAATGGGGGTGAGAGAAGGGCCACACTTCTGCGGCTCTTTCTGAAAAGTAGAATTGAATTTGGGAAACAAAGATGGACGGAGGGTACAGAAGGAACAAGCCGGCGAGTATCTCTCCTGACAGACTGTTTTCCGGCATCAGCTCAGTGTGCCTAATCCCCCAGAATTCAAGGAAACACTCTGAGCTGCTTTATGTTATTTCTCTCTTCCTAATTCTGGGGCCAATGTGAAAAGAAATCTAAAGGTGAAAGAAAGGCAGACAATTCAACACCGAGCAAGTCCAGGCTGGAGAGGGCCAGCATTCGCCACGGTCTGCACCCAAGAGGGGGAAGCAAAACATGTCTGGCGTGATGCTCGGCTGGGATCTGCATCATGTCCCATTACTGCGGACATCTCTGAATCCCAGTTTGGAGCCAGGAATCAAGAGGAACCCTCCCCGCACCTGCCCTACTGAGTTCTGCCTCCACGAAGCTCCACTCGACACTTCGTCCCATCCCGAGCCACAGCCTCTGTAACCCTGTCCTCCAGGTGCCCTGCCAGCAGCGTCTTCTGCGTTGGCAGATAACCCCCGAAGTGCTGAGCCTAAAGGCAGAGCTGCAAGGAAGGATCTGCTCACTGGGCTGGCTACCTGTTGCTTCCAACGTCACATACCAGTTTGTCGCTTTCACTCCCAAAGGGAAGGAGAGCCCTCCTGCACATCAGTGAGAAATGTTCACTTCTCATTGGTCGATGGATTGTTTTTGCCATCTTTCTACACGAGAAGACATTGACTCGTGGGCCCGCTGGGGAAAGGCATTCACTGCCTCCGTGGGCTGAAATTTTAGCTGTCTCATCAGGACAAACGTGAAAGAATAGATTTATGAAATTTGGATGATAGTGAGTTTTCCTCAAGTCCTAAGATATTTTATTTCTGTCTCACTTTCTTTAAAAAATATAGAACACTGAATTGAAGCTGAAAGAGTAATTTTGAAGTGTGAACGGTTTAACTTATTGTACGTGTTCAAATTTCTATTTTGCGGCTCCTTTCAAGAGCCTAATCATTATAATCTAATCACGCAATTAAAAAATTATATACTGCTGAAAACAATTACACTAGATGCTTCCAATGGGATAAATTCATTTGGAAATTTAAGACACAAAGACCAAATCTACAGAAGATACCGGCTCAGTGACACTTCTTATTTATACCAATTTAGTTTTATTGCCTGAATGTATGAGATATTATAAAAAAAAAAAAAAATGAAATAAAATCTTTGCAATGAGGGATTACAGAATGGCAGATCTATTTATCTTCCTTTACTAAAAACAGTTCTTAAAAGTTGGATCGTGACTGAGAGGAGAAAAGGGTGAAGAAGCAGAATGTCGCCAAGCACAGAGAGATTCACAGTCCCCCTCATCCCACCGCTGGACCAGTCCCATGAGGTGGGCGTTAGAGTCCCACTGTGAGGCTGGGGAAATGGAGGCTCGAGGAAATTGAGCACCGAGGCTGAAGAGACAGAGAGATGGAGATTAAACCATCATTTTTCTCACGGATGGGAAGGACTGGAAAATCCGGCGTCACACCTGTGAGCGAGTGGGCCTGCCCGAGCTCCCACAGAACTAGAAGTTCTCGCCCTCCGGGTCCCTGTGACAGCGCCAGCGCGGGCCTCCCGTCCCCAGGGCCGAACACCGCTCCGGATAGTCACCCACAAATGTGACGAGACAAAGGAGTATGTTGGGGACAGGCGGGGAGGAGACATCACACTGCGGAGCCGAGTGCCTGGGTTCCTCTCCCAGGCTCCCCCGCGGGACGGTCACTCCTCGTCCTCTGGGGAGAGGTGAGTGAAGGAGGTGGAGAAGCAGGGGTGTCCCCACCACTTTTCCTCCTTAAAAGAGGAGTGGAAACCTCTTCCCTTCTAAGGGGACATGAAGAATAAAGGTAGACCGTTTGCATGAACGCAAAGCCCTTACGACACTGTCCCCGGGGACTGAGGCCCACGTGCCACTGCCAGTTTGTGCCAGCAGAGACTCTTTCATTTCCTTTTCTCCATGCCAGGGGTGACAGTGTGGCTGGGTGGTTCAAGGCTTGGGTACTGGATCGCCGGCCCGGGTTTGGATACTGGTTCTGCTACCTATAGGAGCTTTAGCGACTTTCTGAATCTCTCTCGATCTCCTTTTTCTCAAAGATAAAAATGGCATCTCCCCAGGGGCAGTTGCGAGGACAGTGACAAACACTGGGTATGTATTTTACATGTTATCCGCTATCATCCTGGACGTAATTTCTTGTAAGCAGACTCTCCGGCAAGCACAGGATGAATGAATTGTAGGAGTTCATTTAAGCGCTGAGAGGTCATGGGTCACAGCATTTCACCCTTTGGTAGATAAGAAGAAAGGGGTGAGGAGTTTAGACCAGGGAACACAAAAGGGGGGTGAGCCTGTTTGCCAAACACCCCGAAAGGGGAGCGCGTCCACATTCTCCACCCCTCCCCCATGTTAGAGTTTCCTTTTTTCCTTCCTTTCCCCCGACCCCTCCCCTTCTCCCTCTTCTCCTCCTTTTTTCTCCTCCCTTCCGTTTTCTGTTCTTTCTGTCTTTTCTTTTCTAGAAAGCAGAATTCTAAACGTGATAACCGTTCACTTCATCCAGCTCCGCAAAGCAAATGTTCTCGGCAGCGCCTTCATGATTGAATTGTTACAGGATCAACATGTAAAGCCTTTCTCTGGGAAAAGCTAAACTCTAAACAAAGCAAAACAAAAAAAAATTAGAAGGAAAGTTTCAGGCTAGTTTCATCCTTTTGAAGAGCGGGGAAGGAGGGGGCTTTGTGCAGGGGACACACAGGGAGGCCCAGTGTGGCCGAGCCCGGCAGACGCTGTGACGTTAGGTCTTGGTTTGAATCCAGACTAGAAAATCATTACTTTCTAAACCATGAGAGTTTCGGCCCAGAAAAGTCTATGCGAAGAGGTATTCGTCTGGAAAGAATTTATGATTTCATAGAACTAGAGAAGAGTAAAGTTTCAACGGGTGCCTCTCCCGTCTGTAGAACATCTGGTTCCAGCTGTTTTGGGCCACTCCGAGCCGTGCGTACGAGGAGCCAGTTAAAATCCGTGCTCCGCTGGCCAGTGCTTAAACTCCAGGAGAGGCACTGGGAGCAGCCCGAGGGGTTCAGCTCTTCACCCCAGCAGGCTCTGACGTCAGCCTCTGGAAGACTGCTTGTAAGTAGGTAGTAAGCTTGACCATTAAAAAATAATTTATCCTTTAATAATGTACCTAGTGTAAAACTTAGTGACTCTCTCTACATAATATACTGTATAATACAGTATAATACAGTATATTATGTAGAGAGAGTCACTGTATTATATACATATAATACAGTATGTTATATACAGTATGTTAATACAGTATAATACTGTATAATACAGTATATTATGTAGAGAGAGTCACTGTATTATATACATATAATACAGTATGTTATATATTATAATGTGCAGTATATTATATATGTACATTATGTAATACAGTTAATATATTGTATCATATCATTGAAATTTGCTGAGGGAGTAGAACTTAAATGTTCCTACCGAAAAGAATTATTCTTGATCAGCAAATATTCTTGACCAGAGAAATAGTGTATTAATTTTATTATCATAAAAGCATAAATGACCAGACATGATCTCTGCGTTTCCTTGGCTATTATACTGTGCCTAGTTTCTTAGGAACACATATGTGAAAGAGAGGAAGAGACCAATTACTATTTAATGCCCTAGATGTGAGAAACGGAGAGGACCAAACTAACTTTTCACAATCACCTTCCGTACGCTACCTGCTTTACACATGTTACCTCAGTTGATGCCCATGACCACTTTATAAAGTGAGTATTTTTTTTACTCCCATTTTAAATGAGGACACCATGGGCCATAGCATTTTGTTAAAACATGAGAGCCGAGCAACCGGAAAGTGCTGGGGCCAGGATGTGAACTCACGTCTCGTTGATGCCATGGCCCCTGTGCGTCCCAGTGTAAAATGGTGCTCCCAAAAGCAGGATGAAATCTGGACTCTGGTCCTGAGCTTGAATTTCCCACAGCAAAGAACCACTTTCCATAATCCACAGTAAAAACTCTTCCATTTGCTACTGTTGAGCTATGTGCGAAATCTCCAGGCTGGGCTCAGTGGTCCTGTGTCTGCGTGTGCTGCTGCGGCTGGGGCGACTAACAGCTTCCTGAGGTCCCCCAGGGCCAGTGCCTTCCTGAAGTCTGCTCTTTCATCCGCAGCCCCAACCCAGCCGTAGCCACATCCGGGTTCTCCTCACCACCCCGGTAGTCGTCACCCTTTCGTTTGAAACGAGATCATCCCATCTCTGGTCACTGTGTCCTGGCTCCCCAGTCACCCTTCTCACCCGCTGCCCACAGTCCAGCTGCTTAAAGTCCTGAGCGTCTGGACTGTCTTAACTCTCTTCGTCCTCTTCAATAACACCGTTCTCAAGCCCCTCAGCGCGTTCGTTCCGAAGGCTGCTTTCACGAACGACGGAAACGTATTCTCAAGAAGTCTAAAATCAAGGCATCGACAGGGCATCGCTTGCTCTGAAGGGTGGAGAGAAGCTTGCCCGGCCTCTTCCTAGTTTCTGGAGGTTCCCAGTAAACCTTGGCCTGTAGCTGCATCTCTCCAGCCCTTCCCTCTTCTGTGTGTCTCTGCCTTTCTTCTTACAACGACATAAGTCGTTGGATTTACTGCCCACTCTAACCCAGTACGACCTGGTCTCAACTAATGACTTCTGCAAAGGTACTATTTCTAAATAAGGCTACATTCTGAGGTTCCAAGAGGACATGAATTGGTCGGGGGAGGGCGGCATTATTCAACCCAGAACGCTCAGGGACCTGACCGACCCTCATTCCCTGCCCAGATTTAGCAGAGAGGGTCACCTGGTGGTGACAGCGCTGACAGCCACAAATTGTTGCTTGTCCTGGATTCCAAGATGGCTCAGAAAGACCCTGGAAAGCCACATAAGTATGAAGGTCTGTTCCTTACTGTGGCATTTTTTTTGGATATTTGCTGGGCTCCTTGCTTGTTATGAAGCAGGTAATAAATAGGCTTAACTCACTTTGAAGACAAGAACATACTTTGTAATCTGATAGATGCGGTTCCTTATACTTTAAAGCGATAGAAAAAAAAATGCCCTGAAGAATTTGAAAATAGGCATAAAACTTGTATGGAAGTCAAAGAAGAAACACATCAGTTTAACAGATAATAGAAATTGCTTCTTAAAAACCGCCCTAAGAAAGATAACGAACTATAAATTGTGCCTGCCAAAATACAGTTCTCATGGACGATCATGCACCTGACGCTCTTTTTCCCGATTGAAAACGAATCAGGGATTGAAGTCACTTGAAAGAAAGATTTTTTAAAAATTCAGTTACGTATATGTAAATTATAGCAGCTCCACCCACTTTCGTATACAATACCAACTGAAATTCTCACAAGCTGGCCAACACATGTCTATAGACAAAATCAAGGTTTTGTACTATGATCTGCAGCTGAGTTATAGTGGAGACAAAGCAAGGACACTTTGCTTATTATCGTCCATGAAGCCAAACTAGATTTACAGCTCAACACAGCAGCCACAAGAAGATGGAGAGCAGACGGGGAATGTGGATGGACGAAAATTACCTCGATTCAAATAAACCGTAAGAGGATTGCTGGACATAATTATTATAATAGCCTTAAAAAGATCACTTCACCAAATGTTTTTATCCGAAAAAGAGTAAATCAGATTGGTAACCGTCTGAGAAACTCTACTTCTGCTATATTGACCTTTTTTCCATGAGGATGGGAGGACTCAGGATGAGTGGACAGGGGGCTGGTGACGACCCATCTGAATCTACAGATTTGTAAAGAGGTGGGAGAGGCAGGTATTGCCAAAAAGGCAGACAGCATGAACACCTTGAAGGCTATTTTCAAATGAGGCAGGACTTAGACTGTTGAGCTTGTCTAGAAGGCTTCATTAACGCCTTAAAGCATGTTTGTCAGGAAGCCCCGTAGGAGATTAATTAACAGCATGAACTTGAGAACCAGACAAATTTGCGAATGAGTCTCTCCTATGTCTCTATGAGTAAAGAAATTATTTCCCCTACATTTCATCATATTGAAGTCAGAGTTTATGAGAGTATTTATTAAATAAAGTTAGCATATGGCTTTAACATGATAATGCAGAATTCAGTGGCAGCTCTAGTAAAATAAACAATCTAATTACGTCAAAATTGGACCTTACGTGAAGTAGGGTGATTGGTTTTCATTTTCTATAATATGTGAGCATCTGCGAAACTGGCGAATGTCAAGACGTTTCTCAGAAAATTTTATAAAAAGAATCAGTAGAGGAAATTTAGATTGAGTTGCTATATAGCCTATCAATTTGGTCTTTCTAATCTAAGTCCTTGGGTTTTAGATTTATGAATTCTTATAATTTTATGTAAATGGATGCCTGTATGTGTGTACATTTTGAAAAAGAGATGGTTCGTAACTTTCATCAAATTTTTAAAGAGTTTCGTAACCCTGAAAACATAAAGAATCATTACTGTACATGAAGAAATAGATTCCACGTGGAATTCTTTAATTAGAGTCTTCTTAGTAGAACATAAAGGTATTTATAATAGGTATTAGTAAATTTCCAAGTGATAGAAATTGTTAAATATGCCCTCTATTATTACTATTCAATTCTTTTTGTATTTCTGGAAACGTGAATCTCAAAGTTCATCTAAGACAAATTTGACCCCCGCTTCCACCACATCCTCAAAATTTCTCTTTTTCCCTTAGCTTTTTAGGACTTATATGAGATTATTAATAGACCATAATTTTTATTGTGGCTTCCTGTTAAATGGTCTGTTTCTTTCTCTATGTTGCATACTGAACGCATTTAATGGAAAAATGTGAAGCGCTATATTATTCAGGGGTGTCTGTGGTGTCCCCCCCGCCTGTCTTTCTCCTTGTTCTTTTGTTGATAGGAAACAGTTTTCGTGCCATCTCTGCTAGTGCTCTCAAAAGACCTCTTTCAAGAGCGATCATAAAGAAAATAAATGATAGATGTGTGGCTTGTTTTCATACACACACACACACACACACACATTTCCATGAAATTTCATCATTGTTAAATGTAATCTCTGGGAACCTGGAAGCATCGCATAAAACTTATGGAAATGTAATTGATTATTCTGGTTAATTAACATTGTTCTTTAATATTTTCAAGGTCAACTATAGGATAGTTTATATTTCTAAGAAACAGAGCGCATACTGCCAGAAGCTTAAGAATCTATTGAGAACAATCTAAGGAGTTTAAAGAGAGGCGGCAGGTGGAGTCGAACCGGGTTTTCAGGTACCTCGATGACCGCAGATGAGTCACCACATTGTGCAACTATTTTCTTAGTTGTCCACATCCAGCAGGTAAATTTTAACAGTGCACCTAGGCTTCTTTGTTTCTTGGATGTCACTCGATGGTAACCAAATGAATGAAACAGTAACGCGTAAATCAGATGGAAGGGTATTTATCTGTCAGAGCAGACTATATCTATCAATGTCTGTTATACTTGTGTCTTCTCCCTTTAATACCCACTTCCGGGAATCCGGGAAACAAAAATAATTGATAGTCGAGAGCTGAGCATAGGATTCTAACAGAGTAACCCAGCTATGGGAGAATTTCTAAGGAACGGGCTGGATCCCACCACATACTCTGCTCTCGGGGTGATTTTCTAACTGCCTGGTGAGGCTTGAGCCAGGTGTCCTGTACTTGTAAACCGGATCTGCACTGCCTTGCAAGGAACCCTCAGGTGAGATATTGGGCCTTTCCGAGCCTCCTTTGCCTCAACTCTTAGTAGAAGAAATGATAGTATCTTCCTCGTAAGGGTATTGTAAGGTTGAATTAAGAATGAATGGAAAGAACTTAGCACTGTGTTGATGCGTAGTTAATCATTTCTATCTGTCGGCCCCTTTGTTTAATTACTCTCTTACCCTCACATGTTTTATTTTTCTTCCTTTCCTTCATTCTTAAACTACATCCAATTTGTTTTTCCTTAAAAATGAGAGATAAACAAACATGTATCTGAGAAATACTTCGCATTGTTTCTTTGTGTCTGGATCTCATTCCGTTTCACGTTACTATATGCGAATTGAATTCATTGCCTCTGACTGTTACCTAGTACACGAGCTATATTTTACATATCTATTTACTTAGTGATGGGAGGAGGTGGCTCCAAACTCTTCGCTGCTCCCAAACATCCCTGTGAGAAACAAATAGGTACATGGCTCCTTGCGAATGCGTACAAGCTCTTCTCTGGGGTATGTTTCCAGGGACAAAATTCCTGTTCATAATTGCGTACCCTTACATATGGTAAAACTGGAAGGACAGCACATACTTTTATACACTTTTCCGGTAGGGTAGGGAGGGACATGGGATTGGAGATGGGGCAAGAGGAGAAAAGTAATAAATCAAGGGCCTTCCTCAGATGAATGCTAGTAGTAGTGTACCTTGGTCTGATGCATGATCGATTCAGTCCTATGTACCTGAGGTCCTTGAAAATGAAATAAAAATGAAGTAAAAAATAATATGGCTTAATGCATTACCAGAATAAATACGATGCCTACTAACCTTAGTGTTCCCATCTGTGCTCAGGATGAATGTGCTGAGAATCAGGATGTCAGACTCCTAAGACCCTATTAAGATGCTGCAGAAATCAAAGATGATGTCTGCGAGGCCCTTAAAAACTTAAGTTTTAGGCTCTATGTGAACAATTCAAAATTATTACTCCGTACAGATAACGTTCGAAATTTTATTTATAGATCTCTTTGCTAATCCACCCTGGCGATGGCCGGGACTTAAATGGTCTCTTCGAGCTTTGGCTCTTGTTGATTCCCATTGAGCCTATAAAGATTTCTTGTGAGTGGACTATGTTTTGACACTTTGACCATTTCATCCAATTAAAGAATGGAGGGTCTCACACTCAGGTCACATATCATTTGGTCACGTATATTAGCAAAAGGTACAGAATCAGGTGATTTGAAGTAAGTAGTACAAAAAAAAAAATCTGAAACCAGGGTTCAAGTGTTAGCTTAAATTTACACTCATAAATGGATATGACTTTAAAAAAAAGGAATAAAAGATTATTCAAGTTTTACCTATGCCAAAAAATCAAAATAATTACACTTTTCACTTTTTTGTCTTTTACAGGCCCAGTGCTAAATGACAAGTATGACAGCTTTTCGGAGCAGAATAAGGTGACTGTTACTTCAGGAACTGAGGAGAGATAGGCCTGGGAAAGTGGTTGTAATGATTTTCTTCAGAACTGATAACAAGAATTAATAACATGAAAGAGAAGAATCTTCGTGAGACATGTCTGCAGGCAGCTCGGTCCTTTAATTCAGAGCAGAATTGTTTTAATTTTTAATAGTTTAGGATGTAATAGATAAATTAATTAAATTAGTTCATGTTGTTCAAACAGTCATAGTATCAGTTATTTCCGGTAATGCATAGCACAACAATTCTTTTCCTATTTAGGAGCCAGGAATAAGCAGCGGAGGAGCATAGTTAGAAGTAAACAGTACCACTAATTCGAAAAAAACTATTTCCAGCTCATTGAATTGTTTTTTAATTTCCTCCTTTATCTCCTTTATTGTGTCTAAGATATTCGCATCGCTCAAATATGATCTTTATATGTTCTGCTTATGATATTAAATACACAAATTTTATTTTAGTAGTGCATACAGAAACGATCCCATGTAGTCTGGATAAAGGAGATTTAAAGTACAGGTTACAAAGGATTAATTTTATGTATAAATCCCATTTTTACTCAGTTAGCCAAGGAAGTTCCTCACTTGTAAAACCTTCACGAGAGTTAACTATAAATATACCGGAGGCAAAGCTGGGGATTTGGGACAATAATTTATGATTAAATCCAATCTTTTAATCTAGCCTTCGAGAGTTGACTATGAAACCTCTGTCCTCAGAGCTTTGCCCCTTTTAATTATAATTCCTTGTATACTCATTGATTTAGGGAGCTGGAAGATTCACCTCCTAAAATAGGGCACTTCCTGAATGGGAATCTGTTTAAAAGAGTGTTTGACATATCATGTAGCTGCAACCCTTTCGACAGGCAGTAGCTATTGGTATAAAAACCAGCAGTTAAATCTCATATTCACCTCTGTTCTACATACAGCATATGCTTACATATTCTTATTGTATGTCTACAGTTTAACTCCATTTTCCAAATCTAACCTAGCCTGCTTCCTTCCTCTGGGGCAAGAAAAGCAACTCGTAAAGTCATCTGAGCATCATAACCTTCAGGTGGTATCTTCTGGGCTTGAAGGTTTGCCAGAGGTGCTGTGTGTTGGCTCACGCCACTCAACAGGAAGTCTGCACTGAACCCACATCTCTGATCACCTGTTGCCCTGAGGAATATTCACCCCGGAACATTCACCAGATTGTCTTAATTCACCTGTCTCCTGCTTTGTGTCACTCAGCCCTAAGGGAAGAGATTGAACTGTTTAAAATAGATCTCTATTTTAATTCTACGGTTAGAAGATTGGAATTTGACTCAAAAATCTACTTGTTCTAGCTCCAGTGGTTCTGGTGAATATTAAAAGAGGGAAAATATATTTTAAAAAATATGCTCCAGCAAATCTGTAGCATCTTTTTTATAAGCAAAGCATTAAACATCACCCACTTGCTGGCCACTGCTCCCCACCTTGGTCATCTGAAGTCAATCACTGCTGTCCTAGGAGGATGGTGGAAAATGCCAGGGAACTAATTCAACGACACGCTCATGTTCCATTCATTTAGCAAGTGGTTCTCTGAGGAGGGGAGCATTTCACGTATTCCTGACTGTACTAAATTAACTTAGAAGATTTAAGGATGACTTTGCTCTTTTCAGTTCTCAGCTGTCATCTTAGAGTTTTCTTGGTCACGAGAGGATCTGTGAACATTCAGGAAAGCCTAAATGAGCTATCGTTAGGCCACAGGGATTTAGAAGCTTGAGTGTATTCTGTGGCATTGGTGGGACTGCCTCTGTACAATTGATATCCCTAATTATCGGCAGCAGATAGCACTGTCAGTGAATGAACGACCTTCTCAGGTCCTTTCCCCAAGTAGACTCGTGCTATCACAGTTCAGAGGCAATCGCTGTCCATCAGCCCCAGGTCAGCCTGCAATGCCGGCGGCTTGGGCTTCAGAAAGACACTGGCTGGGGCCGAACACCTCATTTTCCTCCTCCGAGGCACAGTTACGTAAGAGAGAGGCTCTTCTAGGGCTTTAAATGCTTACGTAGTGATGGAAGATACCATTGCCTGGATTTGGTACAGCTGGGAAGAAAAGGTTAGTCCAGGATGAGAGATGTCTGAGACTCAGCAGCTGAGGCGGAGAAGGAGGCCAAATCACAGAAAGACGAATAGCACATGATCCCACTTACAAGGCGTATCTAAAATTGTCCAGCCCATAGAATCGGTGGCATGGTGGCTGCCAGGGGCGGGAGGAGGAAATGGGGTGTGATTAATCAACAGGCAGCAAGTTTCAGTTGTGCAAGAGAAATAAATTCTAGAGACCTGTGCAAGACTGTGCCACAGTCAGCAACACTCAGACTTTTGTTGAGAAGGTAGATCTCGTGTTAAGTATTCCTACCATAATAAAAAAAAATACAGTGGAGTCAGATCTGTTGATAAGTATTTGGCAGATCGCAGGATCCAAGAATCCTTATTCAAGGCAGTCTGAAGCATGACGCAGGCCCTGGGGAACAGACAATAGAAAGAAAGACTTTTCACTTTGCAGAATAAGAATTCTCTGCCTTCAGAGAACACTGGATGCCTCTTTACCCCACACCCCTACACTGAAATGCTTTTCTCATTTGTAAAAACTGTGCTTTACCGTTTACCTGAAGGTTATAACTGTGACTCTACCTAATAACCCACATTTATGATTCCTTTTAGAAGAGCCGCAGAGATGGCGATGGAGTGTAACACCTGAAATAATAGGATTTTACAGGAAATAATGTAAATGAAGCCTTTTGCCCTTAATGACCCATAATAAAATGCTCTTGTTACCAAGCTCTGCAGGCAAATCCAGTGCAGGTTGCCATGGCAACGCCCAGCTGTGTCTCCGCTCTGTTGCTTAATGATCAGTGTGATGTCAGGCTCTTGAGATAACCACAAGCTTAGACAAATCTTTACAGCCACAGTGACAGTCCACTCGGGACTGCAGCCATGTCTGGGTGAAGGCTCCCGGGTTCAGGTATAATTAAAATACACGCAGACCTATGATTGGGAAGGTTTCAGCAGAGAATTAGGTCACCTTTGTCATTCTGTTCTCCACATGACTGCCCAGGAGGAAGCGAGCCAGGAACAGGGCAGCCACAGTGCCTTACTGAAGATGATGCTTCTCCTGTGGGTGGGATGAGTGGCTGGTCCACACTGGTCCACACCACAAAGGACACCACAAAGACCTTTGGGTCCCTGCTTCCCAAGTTCCCTTCATCTACCTGTCTTCCAATGCGACCGAGTTCTAAATTCCATCAGTCGTTCCTCTGACTGAGACAACAGGGCCAGAACCTTTTACCCAGCACACAGTTTTCGAAATTTGTTTATTATCTGGGGGACAAGACAGGCCCCGGGCAATCTGGCCTTTTTCTCTCTTTCTTTTCTTCTTTTCTGCCTCCCTCTTTCACGCTCTTAAAAGTGTTCATTAGGTACTTGTCATCTGCCGGGCAATTACCGGAAACATAAGGATGCGGAAGGCTCAAGCCCTGTCCTCTAGGAGCCCGCAGGTCATCGGAGACCTCGTGGCATGCAAGCAAATGTGTAAGCGAGACAGAGGAGAGCACAGGGCACGGGCACATCCATCCGACCCGAGGGGAGTAGGACGGGCTTGGAGAGGAAGCGAGGCGGGGTTAACTCTTGGAAGGAGGTCCGCGGGGCTGGGGCAGGGGCGAAGAAGGGATGCCGTGTGTAGAGACTGAGGCATGAAATAATCTCGTATGTTCGGGGAACCGCAAGCGATTCACGATGGCTGGAGCTTTGGCCATGAGGGTGGTCTGGGGAGAAATCGGATTGAGAGGTGGGTATGGAACCAGAGGCTAATGAGCTTTGACTGTACTTTGCAGGCGGGTAGGAGCTACTTCAGGCTTTAAGGAGGTCAGGCAGAGAATTATAGTTGCCATTTCGGAAGATTATCCTTCCAGCAGAGAAAGGCATGACTGGAGAAGTCATGGGACAATTAGGATGTTATTAAAATAGTGTAACTATAGATGACATCTATTTTTTTTTTTTTTGGGTCTGTCTAGCCTGCTTTTTTGAAGAGAATTGCCCTGCCCTCAACCCCCGGTTCACCCACACAGGAGTGGACATAGGACCCAAACCCAGACCACATCAGCACCCCAGCCCCAATTAACTGAGATCCATCCAGGTGGGCATGTAATCCAAGCAGCACTGACCAGACTTCTCCCAGGGCATTTTACATATGGCTCCTAAAAATAGGACTTCCTTCCTCCCTCCCCCACATGATGAAAGGATGTACCTTTTGGCTTTCGGAGGCCATCTTTCCTGTGACATGGAGAGGACCTCTGATCATTAAGCCAATACTTAGAGGAAAATGTACTGAAAGATGGGAAAACGGAGCTTTACGGATGTTGTTTGAGTCTCTAGGATCTGGGACCTAGCTCTAGCTGTGTCTGAATCCATCAGACAGATGGCCTTGCCAGTCACACACGCCGATACCTTCCTTTTTGACTGAGCAAGTCGAGTTAGGTTTTTGTCACTTGCAATGAAATATTTCCCGACTAAGGACCCAGGTAAAAACGACGAGAACCTGAGTTGAGGCTGGAGAGGCTGGAGAGGACGGTTTCAGGGAAGTTTATAAAGCTACTCAGAGCCTGGAGAAGGGGGCTGAGTGAGAAGTGCTAACAGAGGCACCTACGAGATACCAGGGGGACACAAAGGTGGTCCCACCATCGCGGGCCTCCTGCCCCTGTACAACCAGGGTTGCGAAGGTTCAGCTTTGGTGAGAGAGTTGGTGAAGAATGCTGCTACTTCTAACCTGGCCTCGATCTTCTTTGGAGTGACCGGATTTATAGGAGCTTTAATCTTATATCAAGCTGGTCCTGCCTGCCTGTCTCTCACTGGTCATGATTCTATTTATCTGGGTCCAAGTGTCACAGTTCTGTTGTTCATGGTTCTATTTAGTCACTCTCCTCCAGAAAATCCCTTCTCATATTTTAATAAGACATTCATGTGTCCTTTTCATCGTCATCTTTCCAGTCTAAATAACTTGTCTCTAGTCATCTTTTAATGTGCTTCCTAGGACATGGTCTGGGTGGTTTTTAAAGGCGCATGTATCAGTATGTAAAAGTTATCCTATTAACTCGTTATTTATCTTCCGTTTTCGTTAAATAGTCCTATCCATGTGAACAGGGACCTTGTGTGTTTTGTTTATTATCTACCCCCAGCACCAAAATCAGTGACAAAGTAAGTAGGCACTCAATAAACAGCTGCTGGGGACTAATTCCTGGTTTCCAGCCCATAATCATCTTAATGGATCTCTTTAGAAATGCCCTAGAGTTTATGTACAGCCCAACTAATACGCAGTGTCCGATATCAGTAGAACCATCACAGATTAGAAGAGGGTGGTTGCCAATCTGTTCTAGATCAGTCTATCTATATGGTATACCCCAACATTGCACCGGCTTTGGGGGAGCTGATCATATGGTCACCCTATGTCGGCCATCTCAAACCAGGAAGTCTTTTTCATGAAATAGTTGCTAAGCCATGTCTCTGCATTCTGTAGTGTGGCATTGCTAGATTAGTATATTTTTTTATATTTAGATCAGAGCTTCACATAGATCTTTGCTAAATTTAGCCCAGTAAGTGTCTGCATGGTTTTTGCTCCCGATTCTCTCGTCCAGTCTTTTGTTCTCTGGCTTCCTGTCATCAGCATCACTGAGGAGGGAAAGCAGGGTCTCTAGGCTCCCAGAGGTCCAGCTTTCCACGTCATCCGTGTCACCAAATATCCGCACACAGCCTGCCATCTAGAACATACGTGGTTAAGTGTTGATTGGGCAATGCTTGGAAGACGTGCCTTCTATATTTTTTTCAATTTTTAAAGAAAATGTAAAAAAGACAGTGTACTTTAGACTTCTTCCAGAAACATCTTTCTTTGAGTAAGGTCTCAGGATGTTTTGCTGTCATCTGGGTACACGGCACTTACGCTGTAGGAACCATTTCAATGAAAAATGAGTTTAGACTGACGTGAGTTGATTTTAAGGATCCTGGTGGCTGGCAGGTCCTCCTCCATGGGTTCCCAATCCTCTGGTGGGGAAAGCATTTAACGGAGTCAGTTATGACAATGTACTGAGTTTCCAGGTTGCTGCAGCCGATCAGAACGTTGTGTGTGTGTGTGTGTGTGTGTGTGTGTGTGTGTGTGTGGTGGGGAGGTTGGAGTAGAGAATCAGCTACAAAAATCCCAGAAGGTTTAATCTTAAAACCTATTTTTGGACTACATAAAATTTCATTTTGTTTAGAAAAACATCACATATCCAGTGACTATTTGAAATATACTCATTGATGATTATAATCAGAGATGTTCCACGAGCAGCCTCTGTCCCCGCTCGAAGCCTGGGGATTGTTTCTGGCTGACTGCTCATCCTAGGTTTGAGCCAAGAGGATGCAGAAGGAAGGAGGCAGGTAGCAGGGGTGGGGGCTGACTGCGCCCCGCATCCCCTCCGATGGCTCTGG